TTTTGGGTGTACTATTATTTTAAGGAAGAGCGATTTCTGTAAAGGAAGCCAAGCTTAGCCTTGACTTTAGATTGCAGCTTTGAAATGTGGATGGAAAAGAAAAGTGACGTTTCCAACCAGATGCCTGAATATTTATATGCTGTGACTTGTTGATAATAATCTTATCATTATTGTTATTCCTTTTTATTCCCTTTAATCATTAACTATTGGACTATTTTTATTTATATTTTTATGGTGCTGTAATTAATTTTTATTTTATTTTCTTCTTCCTTCCTGTTCAGCAGTTTAAATGCTTTAAATTTTAGCTACTCAACATGATGCTGCATGTTCACATTGCATTCAGTTTGCCATGATATGGTATCATGTTTTAAACATCGTTTAAGTCATGTTAACATTTTGTTTTTCTAACCTAAAGGTCTAATTAAACCTAATTAGACCTTCCTTAGCTGAAACCACGTCTGATGTTTGACATGGAGGCGGCACATGGTGAGCCAGCAGCAGCTCAACCTGTTTCGGTTGGATCCTCTGCAGCAGCATTGCCCTCCTCCTCCCTCTGATTGCATGCCATGGGCGCAGTGACATCAGGCTGATGTTGGTCTTCGCTCCGCCTAATGATCTGAACGGAGTTAAACACCTGTTCATGTTCAGTTCTGTTTTTCAGGTCCTTATTAATCAAAAAGATTTTATCTATTTAGGAAAGAATTTTCTTCAGTTTTATTTGAAATTAAAACAGATTTCCCTGATCTTTGGCTGAAAAATTAATTGTTTTTGGTCAGCCCTCCATACATATGTGTGTTTTTGACAGGTTATTTTAGAAAAATGAAGCCTAAAAGTCTGATGTTCACCATGGGGATGATGACTGGATTTTTGTGTCTTCACTCTCTGCTGAACTCCATGGTTTCAGTAGAGAAGGTCTCAGTGAGGAAGGGAGCGCTTCATGCCCTCGCAGTGCACACAGGTAAGCGTTTATCTTTATGTGTGTAAGATGTGAGATAAAGGGAAGCAGAACAATCAAAGTCAGGACTGTCAGGCTGAATCTGGTGCACCACAACCATTTATCCAGTGTTCTGTCAGATGAGCATACCCGCTCAGACCAGTACATCCATAGTCAAAACCCATTTATCCCTTTAGTTTTGTAGGAAAAATAAACTTTAAGCTACAAACCAAAAAAAATATTTAATTACTCCCTTTTTGGTGTTTTTTGAGGCGTGTGGTGATCTGACCTTAAATAGTATTTTTTGTAAATGACTTGAGGGATACAAGCCGTGTACGTGTACCTAGAGGCTGAAAGCCTAAAGCAATGGCAGTAAAGTTGCAATACCAGTTCTTATAAATGAAGTTTTCATTTGTAAAGCTACATGCTGCCCTCTGTGATGATCTGATATAAAAACTCCACAGCTGGTTTAAAATGAAGGTAAACTGATGCCGGCATTATATACTCCAGCTGTTACTATTTAGTTAAAACAGTAGAAAGGGCAGTTTGGCATAAAGATATAATAATTAGACCTACATTTATTTATCATAGAACATTTGGTCGAGCAGAATTTATTTTTTTGATTTTTAAGAGGAGTATTTCAAATAAAAAAGGAGCTGAAAGGTGAGCTCCCACATCCAGAGCAGAGGCTGCTTTAACCTTCAGAGCACGGAAGGCCAGCACAGGAAGCCGTCACACAGAGACATCTTCTCTGATAGACACGGCAGGCAGACAACCTTCCTCTCTGTCGCAGCCTACCTTCCCATCCTGTTTCATTAACAAATCAAAAAAAATGTCCTTGCTGCTATTGTCCTTTCTTGTGCTTTGTTTTTTGAGCGATTTATGATTCTTTCTACCTCAGTCACTCTTCTTTTAGAGTTACAGTTAAACAAAGCAATAAAAAAGTAACTGGAATGTCGTCCCATCCACCCAACCTGTACATCATGTTCTTACTCCATCATTCAGCCATAGATGAAAATAATTGAACCATAATAGCCTAACGTCATCTGTTCATTGCAATGTGCCGGCCTTCGATCAACAGCAGGTCAAAGGGCTCCAGCTCTCTGCCGGTTAGATTATCCCACCTCAGTCAGCTCCTCTGCCAGTGATAAGGAGAAGTGATAATTATAACCCAGAGGATCCGGTCTGTCAACTTTAACTGATTTAAATTCCTTTATTTTAAAGTTTTGACAAAAAGATGATTTAAAATGTGAATTCGGGTTATAAAAAAACAACATTTCTATAATTAGTAGAAAATCCTCCTCCAATTCCTTCTGTTTTTTTTTCTGTTTGTTTCCTTGTGCCGAACAACTGCCTGAAAGCACAGCCATTAGTGATGATAAACACGATCTGTTTGCACTGGAAAGGAAACACTTCTTTAAAGGAAGTTGCAGGTGAAAGCTGAGATCGACACAGTTTTATTTCTAACTCAGATGACTGTTGGGTGTGTACTGAAATAACACCCAGTGTTTTCCTTACTTCTGCCGTTTGAAAATGGAACCCAAAACAAACAGCAGCGTGTTCAGCTTGAACAGGACTTTTTGATGTATTATTGTCAGAAATATTACAGAATCATTTCAGTGGTCCTTTTATTGTCATTTTGTAGCACATTGACTGCCTCCTCCCCCTGGTGTGGACGGCTTTCCCTGCTGGAGGGCTGCTTAGCGCCTGTTTAGATCATTCAGCTGCATCTATGGGGGGGAGGGTGTGTTAATCTGAATGCCTTTCCACATCCTCCTGGTGTTGCTTTTGTTGTGGAAAAGATCCTGGATCTTCTGGCTGTGGTTCTGCTTCGCTGATCTGATGGTTTCCATTGCCACGCTCTGTTCTCAGTGCCTCTTTATCACCAGACTTGAAAGCTGAGTTCGGTGCTTTTGGCGATTTCCGAACCTCCAGGGTGGTTGGTTGGCCCGGGTGGTGATGTTCTTTTTGATGCTGACGTCCTCAATGCATTGGTTGATGTAGGCTGACACAGTCATGGCATACTCATCAATATTCAATAAGTTGTCAGATGTTGCTGCAGCCTTGAAGATGTTCCAGTCAGAGCATTTAAAACAGTCTTGGGGTGTTTCCATGGCGCCCTCAGACCACACTCTGACCTGCTTCACTGTTGGTATCCCCCTCATTAGCTGGAGCCTGTATGCCAGGATAAGCATGACAGATAGGTGATCTGATAACCCAAGGTGGGGGCTGGGGCTGCTCTGAATTTGATGTTAGAGTAAACCGGGTCTAAAGTGTTTTCACCTCGAGTTGCAAAGTCCACATGTTGGTAGAAATGAGGGAGAACAGTCGTCAAGTTAGCCTGGTTAAAATCCCCAGCTATGATGAAAACAGCCTCTGTGTGCAGATTGGAGCTCAGAGTTATAGAGTCTTCATGGCCTCTTTAGTGTTAGCGCTGAGGGGCACATAAACAGCAGTGATGCTAACCACAGTGAACTCTCTGGGCAGAAAGAACGGCCTGCAGTTAACAGTCAGAAACTTCGATGTCTGGAGAGCTGAAGCTGGCGACCGATCTAGCATTTTTACACCAGCTGTTGTTGATGTAAACACAGAGCCCCCCCACCTCTGTCATGTTTTTATCAAGAGCTCGGACCCACATGCAGAGACACCAATTCAGAGAGACCAGGGGAAAGGTTTAACAGGTTTATTGAAGAGATAATGCAGATGGAAGTGTTGCTCTTAACACTGTTCAACCGGAACTGAAAAGTGAAGGGAAGACATAGCGGTTAGTTCAGACTCAGTGGGAGATTAGATTCGTCAACTTGAAGAGGAGGATTTGGTTGCTGACTCACGTTTCCAGAGAAGTTGTTGACTCTTTGACTCCAGTCTGTGTGCCGTGGTTCCAGTGTTTGTCTGATTTGGTTGAGGGCGGAACAGGGTTTACCCAGAATGCGGTTGTTTGTAGGTGAACGGAGAAGCTGACTGCCACTCAGATTTCCTGCGGTACTTGAACGGGTCGTAGTGGAAATGAATCCATTGCTCAGTGTGAAGCTCAAACGATCTCTTGGGGAAAAGTGGATCCAAACCTCCTGTTTAAATCCTCAGCTCAGTTTGAAGTTCAGATGATCCTTCCAGGGAGAGAAGGTCCGAAACATCCAGTTTGCAGGATGACTTCCTGCCGAGAAGCAAAGACAAAAAAACAAGATTAAGACTAAGGTTGACAGAACTCAGTTTGACTCAGCAAAACTCAGCTTGGCTAGAGTACCCAAAACTGGCAAACACTCTGGCGTCGAGGTAGTGGCAGTCAGCAGCTTAAGAACACTCCGTTCTGACACTGGCCGTTTCTCAATATGTGTACTTGTGTGTTCTCATGTGCTCGTGTACTCGTGAAACGTCTTCAACACTTCCAATAATTTGGTTTTTATTAACTGTTTTTGGAGAGGATCCTTTTAAAAAAAAAAAATATATATATATTTTGAAATGTATTCATTTTTTTGTAATTTTATCTGTAAGGTCTGGAGAAGAGCAGTGATGGTGCCACCCTGTGTAAAAAGACAGTGTAAAAATGTTGTCAATACCAAGACTATCTCAAGTACCAAAACATTAATATCAGCATGAATATTTCCAAAATGATCGTGGTTCATGCCGGCCGGTCAACACTTCCTCTGCGGCTGAAGCTCCTACCTGTGACAGAAAATAAGTGAAGGAGCTGAAGCAGTAATCCAATGCTAACTCCCTAAATGATCCATGCAGTATAAAAAGCCCTTCCTTGTCATTCTCATCTTTGTGACGGTCGGCATATGGTGTCATTTCCTATTTCTTAGCACTGTAAAATTCTTGCAACAAACTAAATTAGAATAAAACTAAAATGCTTTCTTTAAACCAAACTACGACGTTCCTCTTATATTTGGCCAATTTATGTTACAATATTTTGCAGATATATGTTGCGGTGAATGATGGGGTTTAGCATCTGTTTAAATTATTCCATTTCTTTGCCCACATGCCGCCTAGACCTGCAGTGAACGCTGACACACCGCTGAGCTTTCATGGATCCATTCTTAAAGAACTGCCTGTCTGCCTCTAGATTCTATTGTTTTATGTTGGTGTTTTTATAACAGTCAGGTTTTACGTTGTAGATTTATGTGTGAGTGGGAGTCTGGCTGGCTTCGTGCGAGTGTTACGCAGCAGAAGTCACAGAAGTCGTGACCGTTATATAACCGAAGGCAGTAAAACCGCATTATAGAAGTCTTGGTGATGGTTTTCCTGTGATGCTTGAAGATAGATTGGTTAATCCACAATGTGTATTTGTATTGTGTTTGACATTTGATACGCCAAGTTTGACTGTGGTTCTATATTTTGGGGTCTATAAATGGGCTGGTGTAGCTGGAAAAATGCCAGGGCTGAAAATCGTTCCCAGTCTGAGCCTGTCTACAGCTAAGTCTATAAGCCATGGGATCTAGAACAGAAATGGATCAGTTCATTTAGAGTTCATTTAAGGTTCATTTAGAGTTCATCTTTTCTCTAGTGGTTGTCCTTGTAAGATGTGAGGCAGATCTGACCATAAACTACCCATAAAAAGGTTGATTTTCCACAGAGGTTTTCCTTCATACTGCTGTTGTTCAACCTTAATTATTTCCCAAGTTGTAAAATGAAAGAAAGGGTAAAATGGATTAAAGTATGTTAGAGTTTATGGCCTAGCTTCTGGGAGGGGGAGGTCAAACCTTTTGCTGATTAACAGAGTCACCCTGGCTCTGCTTTCTCTCTCTGTCCTTATCTACTTTTCTGACAATAAAAGTTTTGTAGCACTAAGTCTGTGTGGGTTTGTTTCATATTCGGCTTCCTACTGACTTCTCAATTTAATTCAATTCTATTCAGTTTATTTCTATAGCTCCAATTCACATCATGTCATCTCAGGTCACTTTCCAGTTCACCAGATCATCCAGTCAGATTGATTCAAAGTTTTCTATCTAAGGAAAACCAGCTGATTGCATCGACTCATTGACTCTTCTGCAATCCCTCACACTAAGCATGCTTGTAGCGACAGT